TGGTGGCTCATACCTGTAATCCTAGCACTCCGGGAGGCCAAGGTGGAAAGATTGCTTGAGCTCAGGAGTTTGAGACCAACTTGAGCAAGAGCGAGACCTCGTCTCTACTAAAAACAGAAAAAATTAGCCAGGCGTGGTGGCACACACCTGTAGTCCCAGCTACTGGGGAGGCTGAGGCAGGAGGATCACTTGAGCCCAGGAGTTTGAGCTTGCAGTGAGTTATGCTGATGCCACTGGACTCTAGCCTGGGTGCTAGACTCTGTTTCAAAAAAAAAAAAAAAAAGAGGATCTTAAAGCTCACCTAACCTGACTTATTACTCCACAGAAAAAACACCTTCTACAATGTTTCCCAGACAGAAGGGCCTACACATCCAAAAGGCAAGTTTAACAAGAAGAAAAAAGGAAGCATAATAAAGTCTCAGTTCTAGAGGTTAAGCTGGCCTGAATTATATATTTCATAAAACCAGATATTAAGACATTTATTTTCATCAGCAGTTGATAACATGACCTTTAAATTTTGTAATTTAGCAATGGCCCTTCATTACTAGCATCTAGTTAAGGCTCTTCAACTCTTTTCTAGGTCAAATAATCTGTGACCACTCTAAATTCAAAAAAAATAGAAATTATGCTTAAGGCATGGGAGAAAAATAGGCTATATTTGCTATAGGCAGAAGTCACGGAATAAAAAGTCCAGGAACAAAAGAAATTTCAAAACAAGTAAACGAGGATACATGAAATAAGCCAATGCACAAGATGCCTGATCCTTATTTTACCAACTTGTAGGCTTCGAGACTTACCTTGCCTTTTGCATTTCCCGTATAAATATATTCCCCTCGCCTATCAAAAGATGCCACCACGTTCAAATCGGAGTCATCGTCTACCGGCAGAACAACATGTTTGGAATCTGAAAGGGTCAACATGACAGGAGCAGATTTCATGGGACACACGAGAACCTTGTTCCTGTTTAAAAATATGAACAGTACATTGGCTGTTGCTTTGGCATCAGCAGGCCGATTCCCTGTCCTTTTCCCTGATCCCTGTCCACAACTCGTCAACTCTCCTAGCCCAAGCAAATTTGAAATAGTGAAAACATAATTTCCAAATGTCTAATAACAGGGAAAAGACAGTAAAATTATGGCATCCTACTTCGACAAAATATAATCATCAAAAATAAATATGAAGATATAGCAACCCAGTAAAATACGAAATAAAGTGAAAAGGCAAAATATTGATTGCAACGATATAAAAATACCTATTTGTGTGCATTTAATACGTATCGAGACGTGAGGCACTATATAATAAGCTTTATACTTAAAGAAAACTTGACTGAAAGAGAACCCAGGGAAAAGAAAACAGTTATGTCTGGGTAATGGAATAGTGAGTAACTCATTTTCTTAAATGTAGCTTTAATATTAAACTGTTTCCCCCTCCTAAAGAAATCAAAATAGTCAAAGGGGAAAAAGCCCCACGTCACAGCCCAGTGATTATACTTATCCCCACCTTTGCCATTTCCAAAGTCTTAATATTGTCAGTTTTAAATTACATAATACAGTAACATTCTCCTTAAATGTATTCAGTAGTGCCAACCTAGACAGAAAGATTTTATGTAGAAGGTTTGAAGAGATGTGTGTTTACCTCCTAAAACCTTAAAATTATCATAAGCCCAGACCTAATCCATACAGAATTAGACCCCACCCCAGGAAGGAATTGCTTAGATTAAACATACTGATCTCGTGGATGATACTGGACTTTTAAGATGGGTGAAGGGAATCGAAACCTCTGGTCACAGTCGCCTGAAAGAACGTCCCACTGTGACACTATGTTATCAGTGGAAGCACTCACGAGCTTATGACCATCTCGACTCCAGCTGGGGAGAAAAAGGGGTAATTTAGTACATAGTCTAAGTTAAAGTACATCATACCACTCTTATAGATAAAGTGTATGAGTCACACATATTGTCCTAATTGCACAGGTCACGATGTTCGTTGTTTTTTTTCTTAACATATACTCAAATCCACGACAAGCTTTCCCAATTAAGCAATAAGTAAGAATGTTTTCATGACGTTTTCATATCTAGTAATGGAAGCTCTTAGTATTTCAAATTAATACTACAAGTGTTCAGTGAAATAACAGAGATTCATGGGCTAGGCATGGTGGCTCATGCCTATAATCCCAGCACTTTGAGAGCCCAAGGCGGGAGTATGACTTAAGCCCATGAGTTCAAGACCAGCCCAGGCACAACATAGCTGGACCCCATCTCTACAAAACAAAAAATTTTAAAAATTAGCTGAGCATGGTAGCACACGCCTATAGTCCCAGCTACAAGGGAGGCTGAGGCAGGAGGATAACCTGAGCCCATGAGTTCCAGGCTGCAGTGAGCTATGATCACACCACTGTACTCCAGTCTGGGCAACAGAGCAAGACCCTGTCTCTAAAAAAAAAAAATAAAAGCTCATCATGTCATTTTCCCACCAAAATCTTTTAATAACTTCACAGTACATACAAAGCAAGGTTCAAATTCATGAGTATGGCATACAAGGTTTCCATGAGGATCTCAGCTCACCTTGGCTCTTGCCATATCATTATTTCCCACACAACCCAGCTACCCTGAAATAGCTGTAGTTCCCCATCTTACCACACTTGTTTCAAGCTGATATGCCCCTGCCTGTACAGTGCCCTCGACTGGAATACACATGGCAAACAACTACTCATCTTACAAGTTTGAGGTTGGAAATTAATCTCATCTATGAAGCCTTTTCTGCCCTCTGATACAACTAATCACTTCCTTCTTTGCACCTTTATCTCCGCTAAATCTCAAACATAGTTCTCATATAGGACCTACAAGGCTTTATTACATGTACCTGTACAGACACCCACCTCACCCTAATAATCAACAATTTCTCATTTGTTTTTGTGTCACCTGTGCCCAACATAGTACCAGGAATATAATTCATGTCCAACAGTTGCTGAACGAATGAATATATGAGAGAAAAACTTTATGCACAAAGATGTTCACTAAATATTATATAACAGAAGAAAAGAAATATGGTTAAGTAAATTATGGTTTATTTATGAGGAGATATGTAGCCATAAAAAGAGTTTTCAAAGGATACTCAAGCAGGAAAATGTCTAGACAGTGTTAGGAAGAAAAAAGCACAATATAAAAGAATATAGCACCGTCACAAACTATGCTTTAAAAAAACTACAGAAACTTATCAAAATATTTATAGTATTAAAATCTAGGTAGTAAGACTATAGAAAATATCAGTTATTTCTACTTTTATTTTCCATGATTTTCTAAAATGATGAGTATATAACTTTATAATAAAAATAGATACATGTTGTTTTTTGTTTTGTTTTTTTTTTTTTGAGACAGAGTATCACTCTGTTGTCCTGGCTCAAGTGCAGTGGCATCATTACAGCTCACTACAAGCTCAAACTCCTGGGCTCAAGCAATCCTCCTGCCTCAGCCTCCTGAGTAGCTGGGACCACAGGCACATGCCACCACGCCTGGCTAATTTTTCTACTTATAGTAGAGATGGGATCTCGCTCTTGCTCAGGCTGGTCTCAAACTCATGATCTCAAGTGATCCTCCCACCTCAGCCTCCCAAAGTGCTAGGATTACAGGCATGAGCCCCCAGCACCTGGCCACACATTGTTAATAGGGAGGCATTCTAAAATTAGACCGCGATGATGGCTGCACAACTCTGAATATATAAAAACCCATGAACTATACATTTTAACTGTGTGAATTTCATGTTATGTGAATTATATATATTTTTTAAAGCTGTTTAAATCATCTGCAAGAATACACAAAAAGAAACACAAGGAGCTAGAAGGAGCCTGAGAAATCATCCACGCCAGTGCTCCCATTTTGCACATTAAAGTTTTGGCCCAAGCCACCAGTATGTTAGTGGCCAAAACTAGACTGGGATTCAGGCCTCCTCTTATTCTGTGTTCTGTAATACACTACTGCTTCCATTCAGACACAAGGAAATAATTAACAATTTAATTAAGCTTAAACTGATTAGGGGCTTTTTGTTGGCCCCAAATTCATTTTTTAAAAAAATGCTGCCCCAAAATAAAATTTTCTGAAGCAAAGTTTCAGAGAATAAGAGTAAAATCAATGGGAATTTATGTAACAGTAGATTTCAGCTATTTCTCTATTTGATAGAAAGCCTTAATAATTATATTTCAATGAAGGAATAGGCAGGCTTGTGATCACTGAAATTGCTGGAATTCTGTAACTCAGACAAAGCTGGACTAGATGACTTTCAAGCTTTTGTCCTAACGAAGGCTTTTTATTCAAAATGAAAGGTAAATATCACAATTACACTACAGCTGCAATATTTCATTTCAGTATTGAGATATTCTCAGACAGAGCCTGATCTCAATCCATATTACAACGAATTTCTCCCCACAAAGGTGCTTCAGGGACAGCATGGGTTCAGGGTCGACATAAACTATGAGAAACTATATTACTAACGGCTGAATATTTAAAACTCTAAATATTAAAACGTCTACATTGAGATTGGCAAATACAGTCATCATTCACTCCCTTCATATTTAACATGTTAATTTAAAAATTCCTTACCATAAAGAACAGACTGGATGGATGTGTGCACTAATTATTTTAGCAATGCCTCTTGTCAAGAAATCCCAGATGACAATTCGGCCATCATTACAGCCAACTGCAAGCAGTGTGCCCCACCTGTTAAAGGTGCAAGTCAGGGCCATGCTGATACAATCCAAAGTTCCATCAGCCTCCTAAAAATTAAAACAAATACAAGAATACAGACTATAATAGCCAGGCAGCCAAATTATTTCCTGAAATTTCTCTATCATTTATGAGACTTCTACTGAATTTAATTATAATGTATACCACAATAATCTCCATGTGGTAGATTATTATACCTATTAAAATGTCTTCTTATACCTACTAAAATAGCTAAAATGAAGAAATATTTATAAAAGCCAACCATGGATTTTTGGAAACACATGTGATCAATCCCTTACATTACCACTATCAATTTGTACAAACTTTCTGGAGGGCAAATCGGCAAAATAAATACAACAGAAGTCATTAAAAGAGTCATACCTATTGACCTGGTAATCATAGTTCGGAGAATTTATTCCAAGGAAAAGTATTTAAAACAAAAAACCCTGGAATAGCTTGTATGTGTAGCATTAGGGAAGTCAAATTATTTTA